CACATGGCTCAGGGCTGTGACCACTTTGGACTCTCCCAGATATGTCTGCCTCTGGCTATGCTTTCCCAGATAGCTACAATAAAATTTCTTCTCCACCATACCTAGGAGCAATCATGTCCTTTCCTTTCTTTTTCTTTTTTTCAATTTATTTTCCTTGCTAATACAGTGTTCCTGCTACCATACAAGAAGCCTAACTCCAAAATCACCTGTTCAGGACACATACTCCATCCATGAACAGTCTGGCCTCAGGCTTCAACTCAGTCAGGTCCATACAAGGTAAGGAAGGACTCTGTTTCCACTCTCCATTCTTTTCCCATTATCATTTAGTACACTTTGGCTTTATTTATTTATTTTACTTCAGGTTTTTTTTTTTTTTAAAGATTTATTTATTTATTATGTATACCATGTTCTGGCTGAATGTACACCTGCGCGCCAGAAGAGGGCACCAGATCTTGTTGTAAATGGCTGTGAGCCACCATGTGGTTGCTGGGAATTGAACTCAGGACCTCTGGAAGAGCAGCCAGTGCTCTTAACCTCTGAGCCACCTCTCCAGCCCTTACTTTGGGTTTCTGTAGCATGTGGTTGTATGTGCCATGCACCTGCTAGTGGAAGCCTCCCTGTTCTTTTAAGACAGGGTCTCACCGGCCCGGCACGGGGACACATACCTGTAATCCCAGCATAGGGAGGCATAGGCTGGCGGATCTCTGTGAGTTTGAGGCCAGCCTAGTCCACAAACTGAGTCAAGAACAACTACACAGAAAAACTATCTCGAAAAACTAAAACCAAATCCAAAACCAAAACCAACCAACCAAACAAACAAACAAACAAAGACTGTCTGGCTAGCCTGGCTGGCCAGCAGGTTCCCTGGATCTGTTTGTTTCTGCCCCCAACACTGAGGCTACAGGCATGTGTAGTCATTACAACCCTCTTTTTTTTTTTTTTGAGACTGTCTCGCTATGTAGCCCTGGTACTCATGGGTTCAAACTTAGAGAGATCTGCCTACCCTCAGCCCTCAGGGTAGGGGGCTGGTCATGCCAGTCAGGAGGCCCCAGTAACAGATAAGGACTGAGGGATTCTGGGAGAACCTGGCAGCCAAGTTTGCTGGATAATTTTTTTTAAAGATTTATTCGTTATTTATAATGTTCTGTCTGCATGCCGATAGAGGGCACCAGACCTCACTATAGGTGGTTATGACCCACCACTGTAAGGTTCCTGGGAACACCTTTGGAAGAACAGCCAGCGCTCTTAACCTCTGAGCCATCTTCCCAGGCCCTGTTTTTTGTTTTTGCTCTTTGATTATTTGTTCTGAGACAGGGTTTCTCTGTGTATCTTTGGCTGTCCCGGTTTGTAGACCAGGCTGACCTCAAACTTAGAGATCTACCTGCCTCTGCTGAGATTATAGGCACATGTCATCACATCCAACTGCTTTTTTTTTTTTTTTTTTTTTTAATGTGAGTGCTGAGGATTCAAATTCATGTCCCCATATCTGCAGAACAAATGCTCTCACTCACCGATCCATCTCCCCAGGCTAGTTTTTCTTTATGGGGCCTCCTGTAGCCCAGGATACATTGTACTATGTAGCTGACATAAATGTCCTAATTAGGGTTATGATTGCCGTGATGAAACACCATGACCAAAGCAAATTGGGGGAGAAAAAGAGTTTATTTGACTTATATATCCACAGTCATAGTCCTCTGAGGGAAGCAACAGGAAATTCAAAACAGCCAGGAACTGGAGGCAAAACTTCCTCCGCAGGACTTTCTCAGCTTGCTTTCTTAATGAACCCAGAATCACTCACCTAGGGGACAGCACCACCCACAATGGGCTGGGCCCTCCCCCATCAATCACTAATTAAGAAAATGCCCCACAGTCTTGCCTCCAGCCTGATTTCATGGAGGCCTTTTTTTTCAGTTGAGGTTCCTTCTTCTCAGCTGACTCTAGCTCAGTGGGTCTCAACCTTCTTAACTGCTGCAACCCTCTAACACAGGCAGTGGGGACTCCCAACTATAACATCATTTTCATTTTCATTACAGCGCAAATATCTGTTCTCCAATAGTCTTCAATGGGTGACTCTTGTGAAAAAGGGGTTGTGACCCACAGGTTGCGAATCGCTGCTCTAGCTTATGTCAAGCTGACATAAAGCTAGCTGGCATAATAACCTTGAGGAGAACCTTGAGATCTCTTAACTCAGCCACTCATGCTGGGAATCACAGGCATATGCCACCATCATACCTGCTTGCTTGCTTGCTCTCTCTTTTCTTTCTTTCTTTTTTTTTTTTTTTTTTTTTTTTCAGGGTCTCCCTAGCTGGGCTGGCCTTGAATTTCTTACCGTTCTGCCTCTATCTCCTGAGTGCTGGGATTACAGGCATTGCCAACAGTACCTGGCCTGTATTATGTATTTAACTGTTCACACTTTGGGAACTCTGTGCTGTCTGCCAGGAAATCTACTGGACAGTGTCTTCACTGTAGCCTGGCATCTTCTGTAGCGTCTGGCACACAGAGACACAAAGTATTTACAGAATGGCAACGATGCTGTCCTTTTCTTTTACCAACTCCTTCTGAGCTCGGTGGTTAATCTTGAGAGACTATGGTTCCAGCTGGTCTTGGTGATTCACACCTGTGATCCCAAAGCTCGGGAGGCTAAAGCAGGAGGATCCTATAAGCCAGCCTGGAGCACAAAGTGAAACCCTGGCCTAGATCCCTATCCCCAAATAAACAAATAATAAAACCCACCGCGTTGTTCCAGGATGTTTATGTTTCCATTCCTCTATGACTCCCTTCTGATGGCTTTCAAATATTATGTTTGGCGTGTTCCCATCCCTTATTCTCTTCAGGGGCTTCCTGATTCAGTGATTTGTTCACAAGTATTCTATTTTGGGTTTTTGTTGTTGGTGGTGGTGGTGGTGGTGGTTTGTTTTGTTATTTTTGGTTTAGTTGGTTGCTTTTGGTTTGTCAAGGCAGGGTTTCTCTTTATATCCCTGGCTGTCCTGGAACTGGCTCTGTAGATGAGGCTGGCCTGGAACTCAGAGGATCCACCTGTCTCTGCCTCCTTTAAGTGCTGATCTTAAAGGCTTGTGCCACAATCACTGGGCTTTTTTTGTTTGTTTTTTTTTTTTGTGTGTGTGTGTGTGTTTTTTTTTTTTTACATTTTAAAGATTTTATTTTGTTTTTCATTTTTTTCAAGATAGGGTTTTTCTGTGTGACAAGCCCTGGCTGTCCTGGACTCCTTTTGTAGACCAGGCTGGCCTCGAACTCACAGAGATTCACCTGCCGCTCCCTCCCCAAGTGCTGGGATTATAGGCGTGCACCACTGTGCCTGGCTCTGTTTTTAATTTTTAAAATAAGTTTATTATGATTACATGTGTGTATGTGCATTCATGATGGGGTGAGGTTTTCTTGTGTGGAGGTATGAGAACATCTTTGTGGTTCAGTTCTCTCCTTGCACTTTTATGTGGGTTCTGGGGACTGAACTCATGTCCTTCTGCTTGCCTGGCAAGAGCTTTAACTTCTGAACTATCTCACCTCCCTTTGTCTTTCTCTGTAGCCCAGGCTGTTCTGGAACTCACTATATATAGCCCAAGCTTGGAACCTCCCAAGAGTTGAGACCAACAGATGTTTACTGAGTGTCTACTGTGGAACTAGGTATTGCAGGTGCCTAAGATCAAAGTAGTTGGTCTCAGGGCCCTGGCACTCTGGAGGAGAAGACAACTATCACACAAGATGTTGTGTTCCACGGTAACACTGTGAGGCAAGATAGGGATTAGAGGGTAGAGGAAGGAGAGAAATCTTTCTGGAGCCAGGCGTGGTGGTGCACACCTGTGATTCCAGCACTCGGGGAAACAGAGTCTGTTTCTGTGAGTTCGAGGTGGGTCTCTGTGAGTTCGAGGCCAGCCTGGTCTACAAAGCTAGTCCAAGACAACCAAAGCTACACAGAGAAACACTGTCTTAAAAACAAACAAGCAAACAAACAAACCAAACTTTTCTGGAAAAGGAGCAGTGAGCCATGAAAACAGGGGCAGTCTAGCCACTTGAGATTCTCTGTGCAAAGGCCCTGTGGCAAGAAAGAAAGCAGGCTAGTGAGACATGGTGATAAAAGGTGAGGGGGAGCTATGTGTTTTAGGTCTGGCCAGAAGACCACCTTACAGACTGGGGTTTTCACCCTACCGGCAAAGTAAAGGTCACTTCTTCTCATCAGAATACATATTGGCCAGAACCAAAATGGAGGAGGAAGACCAGGGAGACATCCCGGCGGGTAACAATGCTTGTGGTGAAAACCTAAAAAACTGAGTGATTCCTGGAATGCAACGCACATGGAAGGAGCAAATGGCCTCCCCCAAAAGTGGTCTTCAACATAATCTAGCATATGCACATCACACACACACACACACACACACACACACACACACACGGTGCCAGGGTGCTTCCACCTCAGCTCTCGGTTCTAGCACTCTTTAGCATGTTCTTACCCATGCCCTGCCCCGTCTCTGTTTCCTGTAGTACTTCCCCAAGTGCTGCCTGCTTCCATCCTGCGCCCCTACACAGTGAGGTGATCCAGCTTCTACCCCTGGCCCAGCCCAGATCCTGCTTGGATCATCTACTGACCCATAACCCAAGTGTGGGGTTCGGAGCTCTGTCATTACCTCTGCCTCAGCTTGCCTCCCTCCTGGGAAAAGTCACCCTTGAGGCTTAGGGTTGGGGAGAATGACACAATCCGCCATTGATTCTGAGGTCACAGACTGTGCAAAAGGGGAACCCATGAGAAGGGTTGCTCACACAGACGTGGCTCAGCCTTTATTGTGAGAACTAAGCACATGGAAGAGAAGTCAGCTCTGGCGGGACTGTGATGAGGGGCTGGCAGGGAGTGTTGGAAGGTGATACCCAGAGCAGAGAGAGGGACATGGTTAGGAAAGGACTCGGTGAAGGGAGGCAGGGAGGCAATGACTGAAGCCTGGGAGCAGACAGGCTGGATTTCTTGGGGGAGCCTAGAGGCAGGAGAACCCTCATTTTCTGGCACCCAGTGCCAGGGCAATGATAAGGCCCACCACCAACAGGAACATGGCGACAGACAGCAACACTGTGATGACTACCATGCCTCCCGTCCTTGCCATTCCTAACCCGATAGACTCCATGTTCTTCCCTGTCAGGAAAAGATAGGAAAACCTCAGTGAGTTGGAGGGCCCCACAGCTGAGTCATCCAAGCAGCCAGCATCATCAGTCCAACTGATTCATGGAGCCAAGCAGTCAAGCAAACATGGATCTCTCACAGCAACACTTGTGAGTCACCAAGGAGATTTAATAGGACATCATCCCTCTGTACACGGAGCCTTTAGTTCAGCAGATGAGTGAACAGGAGGTGGCCATACCAAACACTCAGCGGGAGAGAGAGAGAGAGCTGAAAACAGTTTGGCCAACTTGCTCTAGAGGATAAAGCCTGGAACTCAAGGAGGTGTGTGGACAGTGAGCTGTGAGAGAGTAGGCATTTTACTCACGAGGAAGCGTGGACATCGGGGTCTCTGGACTGGATTCAGTGGATGCCCCCTTCCGGACTCGGTAGGATATGCTTTAGGGGTGGGAGGTGAAAGAAAGCAGAGATCCCCAGTACGGATCTGGCACCTTCATAGCTTTGCCTCCCGTCTGTACCCTCCTGGGGTGGAGGCTCACATTTCCTACCCTTTTCCTTTTCTCTTCCCCATGCTTACCAGCACCTCCCCGCTTCCCTTTCCGTGTACCCCACTCCCACGTGTCCATCTGGTACCTACTAGTATTTGGTTCCTGGAGTTAGGTTTGTCACCTGATATGCGCTGAGCCGTGTGACGGTAAAGCCAGCTCCACTGTCCACTACGCTCACGAGCTCCCTGCGCCCACGGCATGGAGGCACCACAAAGCTTGATTTAATCACTGATGGGAAATGGGAGCGAAAGGCAGGATCAGATTGCTAGCAGTCCCATGGAGAGCGGGTGGTTTATGGGTACCCTAAGAGGGGTTAGTATGGAGAGAGGGTAATAAATGGGTATAGGGAGGCCAACCTTTGCTGTCGTTGGCTCTCCGGACCATCAGTGTGGCATTTCCTCCCGTGAGGTGACATGGGGGCAAGGCAACCAGCAGGCTTTCTGTTAGCGCCGGAGATAGCACACCAGAGAGGCTTGAGATGTTGAAGTCTGTTGGGAAACCAGGCGGGAACTCAGACTGAGTTAGCCCCCCTCTCAACAGGGTCATTGCTGAAGGCGCAAAGTCGGAACAGGCCTGTGTGGATCTGACCGCCAGATGGCAGGCTTGAGCTGCAGATGGTGGTACTAGGTGCTGCCTGGGAGACAGTCTAGACACTGGCACCCGGTCGCTCCCAGTCTCACTCCACCCACACAAACCTTGGAGCTTTCACCACACTCCTCTACTTCTAGGTCTGGGAAGAAGCCCAGGAATTTGTCACCTGGTCACTGCCATCACTAGCCCTCAACCCCAACCAGCTAGACCAACACTTTCTTTGAGAGCCCTGGGAGGGACCCGGAACCCTCCTTACTCCCACCAGCAAGAGACCTGCAGCCCCCGGAGCTAGGCCAGCCAGGAAAATCAGGATCAAGGCCAAGGTCTGAACAGGCAGTGTGGATGCCATACTGCTCCGCGCTGGGAACCGGATCCTGGAACAGGTGCTGGCAGGCTGGGGCTTCCTGGGGCCAATGAGGCCCTGCCTCCCGGTGGCTGATTTTGTCTTGGGGTGGGAGGGGTTGCTGGGAATCCAGTCCAACTTGCCCCCTTGGGCACTGTAGCCTCAGGAAGGGCCCCCAGACAGGTTTTTCAGGATGGGGAGCTGGTCCTCAGGCCCAAAGGGGGAAGCCCTCGCTGGCTCCTGGCAGTTTATCTAGCTGCAGCAGAAGATGACTCCTCCTTCTGGAATCCTCATGTCTGAAGCACAGGGTTCCCCTGGCTGTGTGTCTGCAGCATCGAATGTAGAGGCTGCCCTCCCCGAGGAGGTCGGAGTTTTGCTAGAAGGGCCATGAGTTCTCAAATTTCATTGTTGTGTAGGAAAACCCCCAAGGGTTGAAAGGGCTTTGGTTAGTAAGAACGGGAGAGAAGGAGATTGCTTGTGTAGGGTGGGGATAAGTGCAGCCAGATTTCTAATTTCTGGTGTTGACTGAGGCCCGAGAAACGGCTGCTCTGGGAGAAGCTGATCAAGTCAGTGTGAGCCTTCAGGTTTCTCCAGAGTGTGGGGACAAGGGTGGTCAGGGAAGGCTTCCAGAGGGGTAGACACTGGGCCAGTACAGCAAGAACAGTGGCCCATGGAGTAGACACAGACAGACTGGGGCAGCAAGCATTTGTTCAGCCAGTGGAGAGTAAAGGAAAACAAACAAACAAACAAACACCTCAGGAAACAAGAGACAGGAGGATCTTGAGCTCCAGGCCAGCCTGGACTACACAGTGAGACCCTGTCTCAAAACAAGTCAAGTGGAAACAAAGGGTTCATACCTTCAATCCCAGCATTGGGAAGACAGAGGCAGGGGAATATCTAGGAGTTTGAGGCCAGCCTGATCTACAGATCCTGTTTCAAAAAAACAAAGAAACGAAAATCAACCAGAATAACAAAAATAAGGGAAGTGGTGCTGGCACACGCCTTTAGTCCCAGCACTCAAGTGGCAGAGGCAGGTGGATCTCTGAGTTTGAGGCCACATGGTCTACAGAGTGAGTTTCAGGACCGCCAGGGCTAAACAGAGAAACTCTGTCCTACAAAACAAAAACAAACAAAAAATAACAACAAAAACCCTCAAGACAAAATAAGCCAGCAACAACAACAAAAAGAAGAGAGAGAGAGAGAGAGCGAAAGCGAAAGTGCTTTGGCTGTAGCTCAATAGCAGAGGATGAGCATGAGGCTCTGAATTTTGATCCCTGGTACCACAAGACAAATACTGTTTCCTGTTGGGGAAAAAATGAAACAGCTACAGCTTCTCCCCATCCCAGGCTAAATGAGAGAACTGAAGGGACCTGTCCTGTCAGAGGGACATGTGGACGCAAACACCCCTACTCTGGAAAAAAGCAGAGTGGCTTTTTCAGATGGAGGACTCTACAGGGTCTGAGCTCAGTATTGTCAGCGTCTGCTTCAGGAACCACCCACATTCCCCTGTCCCAGAGACAAGGTCAGGGTCCCCGTAGAGAGGTGGGGGGCTGATAGAGTTATATTTCCCCCCCATGGTGGGTGAGCTTAAAGCCTCGGATGGGGAGGATAGGAGACCAGAATTTGGGGGCTTAGGCAGAGAGCAGGAGGTGCTGGCACCAGAATGTCTCTAAATTTTCTGTGCAATGGACTCTCAGAAAACTGGTTCAGACACAGCCTTTGATTCAGTGGGTCTGAGGTAAAGCATGAGACTACATTTTAAAAAAATGGAGTTACATTTATTATTTTGTGTGTTTGCCCACGTGTGCCGCAGTGCACACATGGAGGTCAGAGGACAACTTGTGGGAGTTGGTTCTCTCCCTTGACAATGTGTCTTCTGGAGACCAAGACTCCAAGTGTCAGGCTTGGTGGCGAGAGCCTTTACCTGTTGAGCCATCTCACTGTTTCTTAAAACTTACAGGTAACACAGAGACACTGGTTCACACTTGGAGTGAGCAGAGACTGCACTCTCTCTCTCTCTCTCTTTCTCTCTCTCTCTCTCTCCCTCTCATGGAAAGTGGGACAGAGGTTTTTCTCATGCTGCCAGGACAGGCTGCCTTTGGGTGGAGAACAGATTTCTGCTTTTCCTGCTCCTTGGCTTTTGTCCCCTTTAGATGAGATCTTATCATCACTCGACACACCGAAAGATCACACATGAGGGAGAACTTGAGGTGCGGAGGAGGTCTACATGGTGGAATGTCAGGGTCCGAAGGTCTTCCTGGCTTTCTCAAACCTCAACATAGGAGGGTGTTTACATATGGGCTTGGGAGCCGTCTCTTCCCGGTTGGGCTAAGGAGGAATCAGGAAGAGGATAGGTTTACAGCAGAGCAGACTGTGTAGGTCCACTCTTAAGCCCCGTTTGAAATTAGGAGTGAGACAGTGAAACAGGAAAGGGCAGATCTCTGGTCACATTTTAAAAAGATTTGAGGGTCCTGTGCCTTTAAGCCCTCCAAGCTCCCTCCAATCTCCCCCCCCTCACCTTCCCCACCCTAACCCTCCCCAGGTTTCTGGAGGAGCAGAGTTGCGTCTTCTCCCTGCCCTGCCGAGCTGCTCACTGGCTGCTCTGGAAGCTGTGCTTTGCGGTCTCCATGGAAACCATTAGTTGCTAAGCAACTGGAGCATCATCTGTGCTGAGCTCTCGCATCTAATTATCCCATCACAGTGGCTGAGAAGGGTTTGGGGAGCTGAGAGGAGGGGGAGGCCCAGCGCAGGAGCAAGAGGATAACTCTTCCAGCAGTGCAGCCTCACTGACAGTGCTGAAACCATTTAAAGCCACAGCACCCCGCTCCTCTGGAGGATTCCAGAGGCCACGTTCCTACTGGCCAAGTGAGGGAACCAGGGCCACGAGTGTGGAGTCTTCCCCCAAGCTCTGTCTTCTTTTCTGTCCTAGCCTTGATTCTTGAATCGAAATTCCCCCGAGTTTCTATGCCTTCCCCTCTACAAATACCCTCTTCAGGCCTGGAGCGATGGCTCAGTGGTTAAGAGCATGGTCTGCTCTTCCAAAGGACTTGGGTTCAATTCCCAGCACCCACATGGCAGCTCACAATTGTAAAACCAATTCCAGGGGATCCGACACCTTCACATTAATGCATATAAAATAAAAATTAAATAAAACTATTTAAACAAATAACCTCTTCAGACATTTACTGAGTACTAGGTATCTCCTGGAATAAACAAGGCAGTGAAGATAAAAAAAAGGTAGGATAAGCTCTTGCCCTTGAGTAGCTCCTTACTTCCCTCTGTTGCTCATGCTCAGTCTTAAAACAGACCTCTTCCTGGACTTCAGTCCTTTTGTCCCATTCTTAAGCTACAGTAGTTCTGCAGCCTGAAGAATTGGAATCAGAACTTAGGTCTATCTGACATGTCCACAGTCCTACCTAATAGACCACTCCTCTACCCCAGTCAACTAGAAAAACATGTCCACCTCTCTCCAGGGAACATGACGGTGGCTGTTGTCCTCCTGGTGGTGAGTGTTGCCACTTCTAGCCTCTTTTTTTTTTTTTTTTTTTTTTTTTTTTTTTTTTTTTTTACGTTTGTATTCTTTTTTTTTTTTTTTTTTTTTTTTTTTTTTCAGTTTGAAAATGGGAAGACTCGTTCCTCCTGAACTCAGGTCTAGAAAGATACAAGTGTAAAAATGATTTAGGGCAAATAGCAGTCATGATCCACGACTTAGATGCTTAGTGGACACCCTGAAGGCTTGCGCCTGGATGTCAGAAGGGGTGTTCAGTAATTACTGGTTTTTGGAAATTTTGAGGATCGTTCCCTGAAGATTTAAGGCTGGAAGATACTGTGGCCAAAAGGAAAACTCCATCATTCAGGCTTGGAAGAGACCTGGGTGCTTTGTCTGTCTTTCATAGTCTGCCTGTCAGTCTCTCTCTCTCTCTATCTCCTTTCCCTCCTCTTTCTAAAGCTGACACAACCATTTAATCCAAACCTTTTAGCTTTGCTAAGTTTGCTTGGCTAAGTTACCTACCTTGTTGCTTCAAGTTGTGGTATCCACTTCAAGTAGAATTATTTATTTATTTTAAAAATTTAATTCTGAGCGTTTTGCCTGCATGTATGTCTGTGTACCACTACTATGCTGGTGCCCTCAGAGGTCAGAAGAGGGCATTGAATCCCTGGAAACTGGGGTTATAGATGGTTGTGAGCTGCAATGTGGGTGCTGGGAGCTGAACCTGGGGCCCCTGTAAGAGCAGCAAGTGTTATCTGTTGAGCTGTCTCTCCTCTCTCCTGCCAGTGTAGTTTCAACTTCTGTAGAAACAAAATGAAAACTGTCTCGTGGGAATATGGTGACTATCAGTCCAACTAATTTATTTAAGAGGACTTAGGACAGTATCTGGTTCAAGAAATACTAATATAAGTAATCCATCTTGTTCTCTCCCTTTTATCAACCCTCAGTGTCAATGAGGGATGAGGGGGCCAAAGGGACTCATGACATTCCCAAGGTCACAGAGCAAACAGAATAAAGCAGCCTAAACAACTCAGCATTTCCTTTTCCAGCTTTGTCACTGACAGGAGGAGAGATGTTTAGGTCCGAAAACCTTGTCCAAGTGGGAGTGGCCACAGGCTACCAGGCATCCAGAATAGCTTGTCTGATTCTTTTACTTCTTGAACATTGGTAGAGAAATCCTCCTGTGGTGGGTACCATGCCAAGTGTTGAGATATTGAGAGAATGAGAGTCAATTCCTGTTCTCAGTTGGTCTGCCTGGGGTAGGTAGAGGACAATAGCCTAGAAAGAGGGGACTACATGACTGGTCATGGTGGCACACGCCTTTAATTCCAGCACTCGGGAGGCAGAGGCAGGTGGATCTCTGAGTTCCAGGCCAGCCTGGTCTACAGAGGGAGTTCCAGGACAGCCAGAGCTACATAGAGAAATCTTGTTTCGAAAAACAAGGAGAAGGGGGTGGGACATGAAAAGGCTTAAGGGGCATGACTTATTCTCACACCTAGAAATTGAAAACCAAGCA